GTACTTCAGTCTGTCGATCAAATGCTGTCTCTGAAACGTTGTCGAGCGTGACGGATAAAAGCACCAACCCAAATTCTCATAGAATCGCTGTACCCCCCTTTCTAAACATACCTAGCAGCAATATTTGGCTGTAAGCGCTTGTCACATGCAGAGCGCATTCGCCCCGATTGCGTAGATGAACCTCCCAACTCATTCGCATACGATATATAGGGCCATACGATGATGACTGTATCATTGGTAATGCGAGCCTTGCCTGGCCCCGTCTCCCTTTTCCTTCACATTCTTGGGGGCCATGAGATTTGAAACAATGTGCCACGCGCCAAAAATGCCAAAGTACCCAAGGCCGAATAGTCTGCATTACTAGATTGTTGACGGCCTCGAAAATGAGTTCGAGACCGCCCATCGCCAATGCGCACGTGTTGGAGGGTGGAGTTTGCCAAGGCGACATCTCGTGTCGATTGGGGAACAAGAAAGACGGGGCTTGGATCGACCTCGTATCTATTTGAGGCAACACACCATCTGCGATCTAACGGCGGCGTGTACCGTACCCAGGCCTAGGCAACTCAGGAGCAATGTTCACATGTCCAATACCTTTAGCAGACACAATAGGTTGACAGTGGAACCATCGTCTCCAACGTGTTGTCTTAGTGACCGACTTCTTCCGAACATTGTCCTGAAAGAGATGCCTTTGCATTGATGGAAATAACTGCATACCATTTTGCATTTTCCGCAAAAGCGTGTCATGAGCTGGCCGCTTGTCTCCTACTAAGGGTTTGCTCTGAGTAGTGTCAACTGAAGATGGAATTTTTGCCTCTGGGTAACGCAAAATTGGATTATTCATTTTAATAGTATTAGAATATATCTGTAACTGCACCTTCCGATGCATTGGACACGAGATGAGCATACTTGGCCAGTGTGCCACGAGTTACTGGAAGCCGCCGTGGCTTCCACGTCCTTAACCGCTCTTGAATCTCCTCGTCTGAGACATGGGGCATCTCGATCCTATGGTTTTCAGCATCGATTCTAATGACATCTCCATCCCTGATTGCGGCAATGGGGCCACCTACGGCCGCTTCTGGGACGATGTGCCCAACAATGAAGCCATGGCTTGCCCCAGAATATCTGCCGTCAGTTATCAACGCAACATTCTTAAAGCCACCCCCCTTCAAGGTACCAGAAGCTCGAAGCTGCTCGGGCATTCCGGGACCTCCCTTGGGGCCTTCGTAGCGAACTACGAGAACAATGTTCTCGTCGTGTGGGATCTCCCCATTATCTAAAGAGGTGCAGAGAAACTCCTCTTTGTCAAAGACTCTGGCCTTCCCCTCGAAGTGCAAGCCCTCCTTCCCGGTGATCTTTGCCACAGCTCCCCCAGGTGCAATGTTTCCACGAAGAATTTCTATGTGGCCACTGGATTTTATCGGGTTGCTTAAAGACCGAATGATCTCTTGGCCTTGAGGGAGAGAAGGCCAGGCTTCGACATTCTCTGCTAACGACTTTCCGGTAACCGTCATGGCCGTACCATCCAAAAGCCCCCCGGCAATTAGAAGCTTCATTACCGATGGTATACCGCCGACGTTGAACAGGTCTTCCATGGTATGCTTTCCACTTGGGGCCATGTTGGCGATGAAGGGTGTTTTATTCGAGACACGCTGAAAGTCGTCGAGATTGAGGTTGACCTCTGCCGTTTTTGCCATGGCGAGAACGTGCAGGACTGAGTTGGTTGAGCCTCCCACGGCCATGATCATGACCAATGCATTTTCAAATGCCTTCTTAGTCAGAAGATCGCGTGGTCGGATGTTCTTCTCCAGGCATATTCTAATGATCTCTCCAATACGTTCGCACTCTCGCAACTTCGCTGGCGATTCAGCTGGGGCGCTCGAAGATCCCGGTAGTGTGAGGCCGAGCGTCTCTATCACGGTGGCCAAACTGTTTGCCGTGTACATGCCACCACAGGCGCCTGCCCCCGGTACGGAATGCTTCTCGATGTCTGAAATAATCTCTTCTGCAGAGTATTTTCCGTCCTTTGACCAATCTTTCAGAGTCCCAAGTATGAATGCGCCTCTGGCCTCAGAAGGGGTGTTCATGTCGATGGGCTTTTGGAGGGTCTTGCTGAAGCCTCCTCTCTGGGTGCCACCATAAACTACGACAGATGGTCTGTTGTGTCTCGCAATACCCATGACACAACCGGGCATATTCTTGTCGCAGCCCGGAACGACGATACAGGCGTCATGGGCCTGCGCACATGTTACCGTCTCAATACTGTCTGCAATGATCTCTCGGGATTGAAGAGAAAAGCGCATGCCTATTTTGTTATGAATCATCAGCTTCAATTTTTCAAAGAGTTACAGGGCCTCAGATTACCCTCATTGCCCATTGTGATTCCGTCCGACACACCGATTGTGTTATATCTCCATCCTAGGAATCCCTCCCTATCCACTGAATCCTTGATCGTCTTACCGAGATCGCCAACTAAAGAGAGTTAATTTCTGAACTGCGTATCAATCAAAGATTCAGCAGTACATACGATGCATGCTAGATAAATGTCAGTCAAGTTGGAACACGGGTAGACAGGGTCAAAATATCTTACTTGCATGGGTTGCCTTCCCACCATGCCGAGGCAATTCCCACATGGGGGCTCTTCTGCATTGCTTCTTCATTTGGTACACCTGCCGCATATAACATGGCCTAGTGAATTATTAGAACTGTCGACGTCTAAGACTTTCACGGAATGTCACCTTAGCTGGTGGAAAGTCATGCTCTCGCGTGATGAAAGTTGAGTGTCGATTCAGCACCAAATCCCCGTTTCGTGTGGCCGTAGTATCCATATGTGGGAAATTCACATATCGTGCTTCTGATACATCATTTTCTTCTGTTCTTGAGGGAGACATGGCCAAGCAGTTGTTAAGGAGTGGACAGCCAAATTATAGGCCACCCAAGAGAGAAAAGGTGTTTGAAAAGTAAAGTCTGTAACGGCAACAGTACTGGGTTTCAACGTGAAAAGATCAAATCAATTGAACTTGAAAATCCCGTTCAAATGGCTTCTTCACTCCATCATTTGTAAAAGTGATTCGAGGATTGGTCGCCTAGTTTTGGTGATTTAAGATGCCAAGCAATTCACGTCCGGACAGACACTGTCCAGGTTTTATGGGTCTTCGGACACTTACAGTCCGGAAGTGTTCACGTGGACTCTCATCGAACCGAGAAGCACACCCAATGTTGAATCATACATTCTTGGGATATATCTAGGGCGTTACCATCGCTTTCCTCCTTGAGCTAAATAGACAGCCTGAGATTCACCACTCAGAGAGGTGCCTGTTCTTGAACCCAGCCAGTCAGGCGTTGCTCTATTTGTTCTCCACCAGCCCCAGCCTCAGCATATGAGCAGGCGAGTCATTGTGACCGGCGGATCCGGCAAGGCTGGCCGCCATATAATCCAATATCTGTTAGACCAGGGACATCATGTGCTGAATCTCGACCTCGTACCGTTACCGGGCGACCTTGGCAACCTAGTGCATACGCTCAAAGTCGATCTCACCGATGGGGGTCAGGTCTATAGCTCAATTTCATCTCACTTTAAATTAACAGAGCCATTTCACGAGCCAGTCAATAGCCCTCCCGATGCAGTTATCCATCTTGCCGGTATTGCAAGAAATATGTTGGTGCCAGACATTGAGACCTACAGAGTAAACACGAGTGGCGCTTTCAATGTTATCGAGGCCTCTTCTAGGCTTGGGGTCAAGAAGATTATCCTAGCAAGTACGGTATGCACATACGGGGTCACTTACGCGGAGGGTGATGTCGATTTTCCATCATTCCCCATTGATGAGGATATTGATGTCAACCCAATGGATGTCTACGCCCTTTCCAAGGTCTGTTGCGAGAAGGTCGGGCGAAGCTTTGCGAGAAGATTCGGCATCGATATTTATGCCCTCCGAATTGGTGCGGTCATTGCCCCAGACGAGTATGAGAAATCTTTCCAAGGCTATGTAAACGACCCTTCAAAATGGAAAGCGCATGGTTGGTCGTACACAGACGCTCGTGACCTGGGCAAAATGTGTTCCTTGGCCATCGGCAAGGATGGACTGGGTTTTCAGATATTCAATGCGACAAACGACCATATCACAAATATGAGAAATACCTCCGAGTTCTTAAGGGAGCAGTGTCCGAACACTCCATTTACCAGAGAAATGGAGCCACGAGAAGCACCTATGAGCAACCGAAAAATCAAGAGCCTCCTAGGCTTTGAACAAGATCATGAATGGACAAAGTATTACCCAAGAGCTAACTCAACTACATGAGCTGTAGGATGTCAATATAATATCTTGATTCGAGGAAAATCTGGGTCTGATGGGCCAAACACAATGTTTGAAAGTTGTCAACTGTCACTCCATGATAGAGTCCAAATGTAGTCCAAACTTGAATCCCTGGTGTCATGGAGAAATTTATATCAAACTTGACTCGCTCGCTTCCAACGTGAACAACACTAAGCCAGTGGTGAGAGTAAATGGTTTCAACTCTACCCAGACACCACTCGACATTACACAACCCAATGTAGGATTCATAGCGGCCTCTTCCGGTGTTCCGACCAACGAGTACGTGGGGCGACATTCCGAAAACGATTTAACCCGTGCGGGGTAGTTGGATTTGAATTAAGTAAACAAGCACTGGCCCCAGATTCGGTGGAGAAGTCATCACCCAGCTCCATTTTTGTCCTGCAACATTGTCAGTTCAAACGACGCCCCATCATCTATACACACAATAGAGACCCGTGGTCCAGATTCAGGACAGCCCTGGAGCTCCGGACTGCTCGGATGGTGTATAGCGATGCTTGGAAAGGGGCGAGGAGACCATGCTCGGTCATCCCGGCGGACAACGCTATCATGCGAGCACTGTCGAGAAAAAAAGGTTCGGGGACAATCGATCTCTCTTTCATGCCCGCATTTTTGCAATCCATCTTCTCAATTATTGTGTTTTGCTAATGAGATCAATATCGCCTACAGCTCAAATGTGATGGGGCAAAGCCGGCATGCAAAGCTTGCCTTGCAAAAGGAAAAGAATGTATCCCTCAGACCCCTACGCAACAGCCAAGGTAAGGCACTCCTATTCTCTGACAACGGCAGAGAATTAAATTTGAGAAAGGCCAACGAATCGCCGGATAAAAGAGCTCGAAGAGGAAAATCAACGGCTTCGCCAGCTCCTCCAAGAGACCCAGAAAGATCGACAAGAGACCAATGTCAGCAGCAACCACTCGTCGTCAAGTGCACAGGTCGCCCTAGAATCGACGCAGAGGCAATGGTCAACTGAAGATAGCCTAGAGCCTCCGGCAAGCTCTTCTAGAGAAGAATTGGGCTCAGAGACTTCACCAAGTTTGCTTGCTGAAGCTCCGCAGATGAATCAAGCAAGCTACCATGGGCCGACCAGCGTTTTATTCGATAATTTATCACGACTGAACGTGAAAGGAAGTGATGAAGACTTTCCTACGAGCGATTCACACAACATCAGGTGTATGTTAGTTGCAGAATCAGCCAAACAGCGTATGTATCCCATCTCTTTGATTTGTTACGTCTTCGAAATCAACTAAGTCCAGATGGGTGTAGGCCAACTTGAAACGGTGAATTTCGCGACGGGAGCTCTCGATTTTGACGGCATCGAGCCGGCTCTTGGCATGGAATTACTCTCCATCTACTGGACACGACAGCCACATGCAGGTTTGGTCGTCTATCGGACTGTCTTCATGCGAGATATGGCTTGTGGAGGGCCGTATTTCTCCAAACTGCTCCTAAATGCCATGTACTACTCAGCTTCTAAGCACTGTTCCTCGACGGCTATTCGCCATGAAGCAAAGGACATCAATACAGCCGGGTGGTCCTTCCGGCAGCGTTTCACGGAAATTCTGCGAGATCAATTCGATCAAAGTCGAATCACCAGCATTCAAGCGCTCCTAATAATGTCAAGCTCGCTTTTTTCTCGCTGCGACGAGAGAAGTGTCTCCTGGCTGTATGCAGGGAATGCATTCAATATGCTCATTGATATGGGAATCCACGTCCGGCGAGGGACGTCTCGATCAATGAGCCCAGAGGAGCTGGAAGTAAGGAGAAGAGTGTTTTGGGGTGCATTCTGTAAGATCTATACAATCCATGGTCCGGCCTCCAATGAACTAACTCACCCGGCCATCTAGTAATAGACAAATTGCTCTGTCTCTACCAAGGCAGGCATCCTAATCTTCGCCTTTCAGACTCAAATATCCCGTTGGTATTCCATGACGACTACGAGGAGCTCGAGCAATTCAACCCCATCTCATTTTGCGCCACAGCAGAACCTTGTGTATTCCCATCCTATAATCTTTCTCTCTTGGAGCATTTCTGCCGCCTCAGTATCGTCATGGAGAGAATCCACTCTCAAGTTTATTCCACCAGCCACTCGACACAGCCTTCGGATCACCTCCCCAATGATATCAAGTTACTGCAGTTAGAACTTGAGGAGTGGAGACGAGAACTACCTCCTCAACTCGATTTTGTTTCTTGCAAAGCAAAGCTGAGACCGCTGCCCTATAACCTAGCAATGTTGTAAGTTTAACACCATTAGCCCAAGACGCATGATACGTGGCTAAACTCCTAGTTCTTAGAGCCACCTATAATCTCCTTGTCATATTGGTCTTCCGTCTACTCCTCTCCCACACCGGACCTTCACCAGGGTCGCTCGAAAATGAGGCGCTTGTGACCTGCTGTCGAGCAGCCTCTGAGATCAGTCAAATTCTTCGAATACACGAAAAATTATACATTCTTGGTAGTGAGACCTTTGTGTTATGCTATGCGGCTCATATCAGCGCAACTATACATATTCATGTCCTGGCTCATCATGGTAATCAGTTTGGCCATCGAGAAGCACTCTCGGTGTGTCTTGGAGCACTGGATAGACACAAGGCGGTATACTCGTCTGCAAGGAGGGCCGGCGAAATTCTTCGTCGGCTAATGGCAGATATGGGAGTCGAGGTTGAAGCAGATGCTGTTGCAACGCCAACAGTCGCCCCGCCAAGAATAACCGGTGTTCTATTAGGATCGGACGAGACCGCAGGTTGGCAGGGAAGAGATGGTGGAGATGATAATTCTCCTAGCCTATCCACACTACTTGAACCACATGGGGAGTTAGGCTTTCCAGATTTCGACGCCACTGGCATTATGGAGAATTTGCGGGGGACCTCGGGCATATCTGAAAGTTGGTTCAATGTGTCAGAGCAGACAATGCTCTGGGATGTTTATGATGATGGACTTTCATCTACTTGGGACGTATAAAGTTGATCCATTGTTTGGTTCTGGTGCATAGATCGGAGAACTATCGGCGTACCATACACCACAGAGATCTCTAGGAGCTTTTTCACAGGTTGGGTTTGGCCCTATCCAGTAGTTTTCTTCTACGCTCTCTCTCTGATGGCCTTGTACATGAGTTGCCAGGAATCCACTATGAGCAGTTCGTTTAGCAATCAAACTTGAACCTTTCTTTCCTCCACCCTTCCTATCAGGAACGGCTTAATCAATTGATTGGCTCTCTCAACTTTTTGAGTTCGTGGCGCTCCTGTAAGACCAGCACCAAATGGCTTCTGATGCCAGGCAATATAAGCTTCAAAAATGGCAACCCCGTTAGCCCGGGCCGAAACCTTGTGTCCCTTCTAGAAACCAAAGAAGACGAGGCCAAACCTAGGTAACGCATATCGAACCAATGCCAAAGAACTGGTTTGACTCATGAATGATGGTGTGATTGCTGAGAACTTCTATTGATCAGGTCGAATCCGGCAATTTAACACGTGCCACCTTTGTTCCAAGTAAGCGTGTAATGGCACGTTCCGCCAATGCCGCCCCTTGCATCTGTCACGAGACGCAGGGAGGCGATTACAACAATGAGCCTCGTCCCAGAAGCGTGGTAGAACTTCTCCGAATGACGACGGAAGCGTGCACGGTGGCGTCCTGCCCAAACACAATGCTCGCTGCCCGTCTGTCCACTTTGGTCATCCAAGACTTTATTTTGGAAGCCAGATATATAAACACTAAGATTTATAGTGTTGTGAAAACACTGATCATCTCCATGCACATTTCATATTTCGGCAATCACAGACTAGCGGTAAACAAAATGGACATAATAAGATGTTATACGTGGCTAACACTAAGTTCTCACTGAAAGCCGGTGATATCTGAGTCACGTCATAAGTCCAGAAAAAGGTCTAACTTAAATATTATTTAAAATGAAGAGATGAATTCCATTGCTATTAACTAACATATACGTATTATTCTACATCATCTATAACAAACCCCACCCCCTTTTCCATCAAGACTTTGCGAGATACAGATGTCTCATCGATAGTTACCTTCGTGGTATTGCCGCGTTGCATCATCTTGGGTCTGATGATAGGTATGGCTTTGAGACTGGGTTTGAGCCTGTTGGATCTCTCCACCCTGGTCCTGTGACCACTGGTGATCCCCAGCTGGAGAGCTATCCATCTCGACCGGGTGGCTGACTGTTGCCGCCCATTGCTGGAGGTACGGATCACCTGTTTTAGCGTTCAATTCCACCGGGCTCTGGTACCTAGAGCTGGCCATCTCAGACGGCGGGGGGCCTGTAGAGAAATACGAAGAGGCGTGGCGGTCGCGCCCGGCTGGGGAGGTAGGGTCGAGAGTTGGCGACGAGAAATGCTGCGAGCCTGCCCAGGCAGACGGGGGCGCTGATGGAGGTGGAGGAGGGGAGTTGTTATTATTGCGTCGTCTCCTGAAGAAGAAGAAGGCCGCAACAGCAAGGACGAGAACAGCCGCACCTCCGATGGCGATACCAGCAATTGCGCCCTTGGTCAGCTTATCCTCATCCTGCGTGGCTGGAGATGCAGATGTTGCCGAAGACGATGGCGCGGTCGAGGCCGTGGCAGTAGCAGTAGCAGTGGCTGTCACCGTGGTAGGGCTACTATCCGCTATTCCATTTGCTGTGAGATTGTTGTATGCCGCGCAGTCGCTGACCGGAACTGCAAGCGGACATGTCGGATTCTGGCACAGACTGAGCAGTTGCGGGCCCATTGCTGGGTTGAATGTGACTGGCGGTGCACATCGCACGTTGTATTGACTGTTCAATCGTGTACGAAACGTCTCGGCGTCCTGCGTGGAGAATCCGTAGTATATCGCTGCCTGGCTGAGCTGGTTGATAAAGTGTCCGAGTTGGTTGTACTCCAGGTTCATGAACTTGTGGGCGTACGACAACTGAACGGGACCGGCGGAGTTCGGCAGAGAGGGATATGGGATACTGCAGGCGAACGCTCGGCTGAATGAAACAAAGAAGTTTCCAAACAGGTGGCTGTTAGGTTGGATCGTCAGCAATGTTACCCCAAAGTCGATATGATTCTGAAGGTCAAGTCCTCACTATTGGTTCGAGGAATTAGACATGACAACAGTGTCCGTCCTCCCAGTCAAGAAGTCCGAGAGTGGCACAGTGCCACCCTGATCAAGCCAATTAATACCAATCGGTGCGTTGTTGACATTCGTGGAAGCCCTAGAACCGTTGAAGTATTGTCGAAGGTCGATGTCCACGCCACCAAACTTGCCCGGTCTCAGGATTCCCGTCAGCTCGGATGATTTGTTGGTCAACTCGGAACCTCCTTCAAACGCCAAAGACACGATATGCCTGATGAGGTTCCACTGCGTGTTACTGTTGTTGGCACCATACAGGGCCGAGGCGTAGTAGTCACATAATGAAGCGGTGCTCGGCCGTTGACCCAGAGAGGGTGCAATGAAGGCGGCGAGGCACGCGAAGAAAAGACACAGGCGCTTCGAGGGCAACATGACACCACAACGAGAGCGAGGATGTTCTGCGCCCTTCAGATTTTAGCAATCCCAAGGGGTGTTGGGCACACAGCGTATAATTAAATAGCCCTCACGCCAGCTCAGAGACATGTCGGGTGCGAGTGGCGTCCAATGCTGACACTTGGTAGGTGTATCTTCCTGACACTGCATTGGCTGATCACCGTGGCTTGGGACTAGACCTGACGGTTGGGCCAATCCAGACTAGTAACAAGGAATAGTCCTGCTTCCGCCAAGCCAAACTAAGTTTACCTCTGCATTATGGTGTGTTAGTCTGGTAGGGCTAGCCATAGGCAAAGCCATAGTGTATTACGGCTGAATTAAGCTGAATAGCATGGACACATGCCAAGGCGATATGTGACTGCAGGACAGCCCGAGACGACGCAGTAAGCTTCTTACCAACGCCCTTCTCTTTCTGAAGGTCACGCGGTGCCTCCCATAGTTTATCCCACCATCTCTCTTCCAAGCATTGCAGCTAACTTGTCATGTTTTAGCACTCCATGTCTCGTGGCCCTCCTTGCCCACGTTCTCTCTAGACTTGCAATTCAAGTTCCTAGTGTGAAAACGGCTTGCCCCTTGCGGGATGCTTGACTCGGTGAGTATCTTTAGCTGAGTAGCGATACAGGCGGCGCCATTCAAACTAATCTTGCATGATATCCATCATCGTAAAAACTTCAGATTATGACCATTTCCCTCCATGCGATGCAGTGATTGCGATTGCGACAAGAAGTCCGGTCAATTCGTGCAAGCAGAATAGTAGAACATTGCACCTCCATCCCAAAAAAAAAAAAAAAAAAAAAAAAAAAAAAAAAAATACCATACTACACATGTTTCTGTTTCTACATGGTATCGCGACGACAGGAATTCAGAAATGGTGGCAATCGGTATTCATCTTGGATGTTCGAGAAGCAGTAGCTCCATCAATCAATCTCATGTGGAAATACCAAAGCGCTGTTCCCAGTAGCATACACCATTCCCTCCTCCAAGAGGTCAGACTCTCTGCGGGGTAATAAGCGATGCTGGATAAGAGAGACGTATGGATTATGATGTATCCCAAATTCATCACGAAAACAATCCATCTTCCCACCTCTTTTAGAGAGCTAAATTAGCATGTGTATAACGGAGATTTTAGGCAAGTGGTGGAATATGAGGGGTTTCTTTTTTCTTTTTTCCTAATGCTCCTTTATTCCGTTCTTAAACCCTAACCTTCTGCACTATTCAGAGACCGTGGAAAGACCAATGCCGAAAGCAGATGTCCGTCGCCGAGCTCATTTTACCAGGGTCTAGCTAAAATCACGGGAAGCGGGGCTAGTTTATCCAATGATGGCTCTGCTAATTAATGACATTGCCAGCCAGGAACATGAGCTTAATCTCCCCTTCGTCCCTTGATTTAAGCCTACCCTAGAGGTCCTGTTCAAAGTGCAATGGTCAGGACAGGGAAGCGGGAGGTAATCAGACAGAAGCCGAGGTAGCATATTTCTACCTGTCTATCCGTCTATGGTATTCCGCAACTCCTTTAAGGGGCCTGGCTATCGATGGACGGTGAAAAGCAAAGGTTGTTTAGAACCTTGAAATAAGCCCTCGGTTTTAAATGCCGAATTAAACCAAGTTGTCTGATAAGAGGTGAAGCAAGACCGAAAAGGCTCACCACCAGTATGGTAGTCAGTGATGCCGGCTCGCTACTGCACATATGAAAGCAGCATGTGGTGAACGCCTTTGATTAAATCCGAAAATGAAGAGAGCCTCCATCTAGAAACCATTCTCGTTTTCCCTAGACTTTGATCTCCAGCAATGGATACCTACATAGCTCTCAACCCTAGCACAGTGGGTGCATTATGTTGTTCATACCAAAAAAAAGATTCTTGGCTGCAAATACCCGCTCAAGCTAATTAAATATGCTAAGTTTTGAATGCTGGCTCATAACAAAAAAAGAAACGGAATAGTTTCTGACCACACTGTAATGCAAGCAGGCGACCGCAAGCTGATCGAGCGAGAGAATTTCCCACGTTATGAAATTTTCAACTTCCAGCCATCCTCCCCCCGTACGAGCTGCCCAGCCAAAGTTGGAGACAGTTCTGTCTTGATGCCTCTGTATTTCAACCCATCCGTCTCCTGGGCAAGATTAGAGCCAGCTCCGTTTTCGTGCATACCCTGGAATGCGAACAATTCGGCCGTGTTGGAACTCTTGACCACATCCATTCCAAGCCTGGCTGTTTGGATCATGACGGCAATGACAAATAAAAGGGTCAGCCCTATCTGAATGATCAGGAGACTGAGCCACTCCCAGCGAACCTTGACCATGGTTTGCTGTCTGTAGGCAACTCCGGATTTGGCTCGGTTCGGGTCTACTTCTCGCATGCTATTTAATGTAAGCAATCGTTCAAACAAAGCCCGTAGAGCGCGGAAAGAGTGTTAAAAAATGTTTGCAGGGGGGACATACTAAGCAGTCATGGCATCGCCAATGGTATCAGTGAGACTTTGGAGGTTTCCGACGGCTCTGAGGTCGAATTCATCGTCCGGCGTGGACTCGTTGAAGCGAAAGAACATGTTTCGGAAGATCAGTTCGGGAGCTGTAGGCATAATTTCCGTTTCGTTGATGTTCCAGACCCAGGACCCGGTAAACGCATGTTTGAAATAGTTCCTCATAATCTCAAACGTCCAGCCGACGGACACATTGAAAGGGCCGTTGCCTTCTTCGCTCAACATGGTCAGAGAGCTTTCCTCCTGGTCAAACTTGGGGCCTGGGTGAAGAAGCTCGTCGACCTTGACCGCAGTCGATGCGGTCTTGGTAGTGGGCTCGCTATTTTCGAATCCCACGTCATAAGTCTTAACGCAGAGATGATACACAAGCTCGGCTGCCCTGAACCTGTATTTGGGATCCTCGTTTTGGTTGTTGTTGCTATAGATGACGTAAAAATGGGACAGTGCTGTCGTCAATATGTCTTGATTGTCCCATTTCGCAAGTGTGTCCCATCTGTCTGCAACGGAGTGGTCGTTGAACTCCTCTATAGGAAACTTGTACTCTGAAGCAGTCATGTTACCCCCGATTGCCTTCACGCCCGTCTCGAGTACCTTGCTGAGAAGGGCACGACCATTGGGAAGAGCAGCGTTGGTGATGCTCTCGGTGTAGGAGTCATTGACCCTGTTGTCGCGCGTCTCGAAGGTAAGATGCTCTGTCACGTTTTGTATACTGGCGCACACGGCAAGAGAGCTTGTAGGTGGCCATTCGCATTTGACCTCGGGACATCGCGGTTGGGGAGGTTCCCATGTTTCTCCTTCGCTTAGAAATGCGGCTCGGATCGCAGATCGGGTAATACCGAACCCGAAGCTTGGGTCTTTTGGCCCGGAAGTTAATAATAGTGAGGTTTGATACACGGCTAGCATATTTCTAACTTACCATGCTCATATGTGACATTGCTAGACTTGCTAAATACTGGCCAGGTCGGGGCGACGAGGACCGATGCCTGCTCGGCATTGTCGACTTGGACAAATCTGTCTTGGTCGTAGGTGACGGCGGACTGTGTCAAGAATGAGGTAGCGAGACCGGATACTAGAATCACAGCCGCAACCCAGGCGAAGGTGATGAGTCTATCGAACGAGGCTTAGCATCAAGTAATGAATGACCTCTTTGGGGGGGGATTGATATCGCCTACCTTCCACGCGTCTTGAAGATCAGGACCATGGCTCCCCACGGCCCACGGCTCGCCTGATCGAACAAGTACACATCCCGGAGCTGTCTCTGTTTTGAGGCGAACCAATTCCACTTCAGCTGTGACATGGCCTCGACCAGAGGGATGATGGTCATCGCCCGGCTCACGGTCGAGAGAATGGCGACGACAGTGTTCAGGGTTAGGCCCAGTTTCCATTTCGGCATCGGCTTGTCATTGAATTCGGCGAGGATGATGATCAGAGCAACGAGGAGCGCAACGTCAAATGCAACCCAGAGAAGCTCAGGATACCATGCCTTCATGATCTGCATGAAGGTAGGGCCATCTCTGCGAGACTTTTCCGACGGCGAGGCATCATCCTCCAACGATCGGGTAGAGAGTGACACGTCCTGTACCAAGCCGCTTGCCACATTTTTCGACTCGGAAATCGGTCGGTGGTCAGCCATGAGGGGCGCAGACTGGCCGAGAGCTGCCTGCGATGGGCTCAGCGGAGGGGTCGAGCTTCGAGGGTGTTCAGAGCGTAGCGTCGAATCGTCGGCTGGAGTCGCGAATTCCTGAGCTCTGTGTTCAGTGAAGGAATTAGATACCATCGTGCTTTCGGTATGGGCATGAGACCCTCGACACTTCCAAATATTCACCACGGCGTCAGCACTTGGGAATGGGGGCGGCAGGAAGAAACGTCCATCTTTTACGAGGTACCGAAATCGATAAAGGGAATTGACTCCGCTATTCTACATGAATAGTACATGCAATCCTGGGCTAGAAGCTGGTGCTGGCCCCGTTTGGCTTCAGCTGAATGGATGAATTAGAGACATGCATATCCAGCTGGCCCTTCCCAAAGCCCAGCCCTGAGCATTGTCAGCACACCAGGGTCTGGGCCACGCAGATGCTGGACTCTGTAAGCTTACCATGATCGAATAGGAAACTCCTAGTCCATTTTTTTCTCAATGGCCAGCGAGCCCGCGCTGGACTGGTCCGCCCAGTTCAGCCCGGCCCCGCGAAAGGCAACCGATGATCTTACAACCCTTGTATTTGGCGATATTGGCTGAAAACAAGCCCCACCAATTCAAAGGCAATCGCAAATAGGATCTGTTTGTGGACAGGCCGGTCCATTCGGAAGGCCCGTATTATACTTTAAGAAGCTTAGAGGGGAGCGGCAATGGAGCATTCAACGAATGAACAGACCCCGGCGGAGCCAAAACTCGGGAGATTGGAATGTAAGGCAGAAAATCCTTAAGCAGCCAGGGAGCTTGGGCCCTTGTTTGTCAGACCCTTGCGAGATTAGCACCGGAGTTTTCCACGGGCGACCAACAGACAACTTTTGGGCCAATCTTTGAATGCTCAGTTATGATGAACGCTTTAAATTGTCCAAATAGAGTGAATTCTGTGTGTTGAACAGTCAATGGAAATTCTTGTTGCGAATATTGCAACAGTTTTTTATCAACATCGGGATGAATGGCCACAAGATTTCGATCCATGCGGAACCCCTTTCATATTAGCGCGAATCATATGCCCCAAAACAAATAAAAATTAACCAAGCCGATGTGCTTCTTTGCACAAATCCAAAGAAGCACTAATTCGACCGCCGTCTACTGATTACGTGAGAGTCAGGCCTGAGAAAGGTGTCTAGGAACATCTTCCTTTATCCCCTCTTTTTTCCAGTGATCGACAGCACAGGGGGAGCTTTTTAATGTGGTATTTCCAGTTACGGTAGCTGGTCTAAATTTGGATGCCTTGCCCTCTTCAAACGCGTATTCAAATATATTTTATTCGTCTGATCTCTCGCAAAACTATTCCATTAACGCTAATAGCTGCCGGGTATGAGCGGATCTAGGAAGTATCTAGCATGTTCTAACATTTATGCATTGTGGAATATCTTGGGAAATCAAATGGTTGGAAATTACCCTGACATCTGGTTGTTCGCCAACCACCAACCAAAGGGATAGCAGTTATCGGCAAAACCAACGCCATCCTTCTGGTGTGGTGCCGTGGTCCTCCTTCTCAATCTCTTGAAAAAATCCATCAAGAGCTTCCCAGGGGACACCTCTTCTCATTCCGGTCTCGTCGTCCCAGCTGGAATGTAAGGCAACCAAAGCGCCGGTATTTCTGTCTAACAGGGGAGCACCGCTATGTCCCCAATATGTCCAGCAATCGTGCATAAAGGCCCCTATGTCTGCATTGTCCTGCGGATCCTGGCCAGGCGCCATGCCTTTAAAAGTACCCAGACTCATAACTAGGGTGTCATAGTTTGTCTTCACACCAGGTATCGAAGCTTCCAAATCTTCTGCTCCTGGGTGACCGAAACACATCAGTCGTGCATTAAGACGAGGGGCCTCGGGCGATAGGCAAATAAATGGGAAAGGCGTTGGTGGATCCAGAGCTGATGATGGTGCACGCGTGATGATCAAGATGGCAAGATCCCGACTAGGATCCCAGAACACTGTCCTCGCAACAACAACCATACCAGAGGCAAAAAGAAGCCAGTGTGTTTTGCCCCAGTCAAGCTCGTCTTCGGTCTCAGCGACGCAGTGGGAGCAGGTCAAGATAACGCCGTTGGGAGATATGCAAATCGCAGTCCCAGCTTCTTCTTGCGCGAAAACCAGAACTGCAGGAACAGGGCTCGTCACCCCGTTGCGTTTGAGCGTTTTAGGTACTTCAACTGTATAGTTCTTAAGCCATTCACGCTTTTTGTTAAGCGTGCGGTGGTCGGAAGAGGGGAGTTTGGTTGCGGCAACTGTGAGTTTGCTTGGTAGCGTGCGAACGGAGAAGTCCGTTGGAATATTGGTATGAATCATGATGTCTTGTTTTTCCCAAGTTTGAAAGCCAATAGAGCTGTTCTTCGTTGCCGAAAGTGAACATGCGTGACGGATGAACGATTTCTGAGCTAAAGAGTGCACGCACGCGACTGATGCGTGAAGCCATCACGTGATACCAGATAGCGCAGGGCACTCACTCCTAAATACAAGTCTGCTTACTCCTTTACTCTCATATCCCTTATGACTATGAAAAAACATCGAAGAGGGATCCGGGCGAAAAAAATAAGGAACCTGGGCTCTAGATCCCCTCATCCCGTACAAGCATGAAGATGCCAATCAAGTATGCGTTACATGACAGAGGAGAGTTGTAAAAACCAAAACACTAAATGTAATACCACCAATATTGATTCACTAAGATCTGAATATTCATTGTGAGAAATCTATAAAATCTCGACTCTCATTTATTGCTACCTGTGTTTACTCGTAACCAGGTTCTGGTTGACTTGAGGCTCCGCTACCGAATATCTTGTCTATCCTAGTCCTCCGTTCCCAGACCAGCTCATTATCGCTACGTCGCTTGAAGTAGAGAATTCTATGTTGCGGAATGAACTCCTCGTCGGTCTGATCGGTCTTCCACATCTCAAGAGACTTCTCACAAGTGCCAGTGAAGCGGTCCTCGTAGCCAACAATGTAGTCATCGCTATCCATGTGAGGATCCCATCTCAGCCGATTCATGACGTCTACTGCAGTTCGTAGCTTTGCTGTAGATAATCCGAGCCCATGCTGTGGCTGCTGCCGGATCGGCAACTTTGCCAGTCCATCCTCATCATCAATCTCTTCGTCCTCATCGGACTCCTCGTCGTCTGAGCTAATGTCATCATCAGCTGCGCCGACATTATCCTCGAGAAAGAGGCTCTTGTCGAGCTGAAGGTCGCCTAATTCTGTGCACTTGACAAGAGTTGCAGCCATCCAAGAAGTGTTGGCATCAAAATGTCTGGCGTCCCCTCGGATGCGCTGCTCAAACTGGGCAAGGGTTGCCTGAAGAGCGCCTTCGGAATGATCACGAGACTCACGCTCAATACCAAGCAGGTAGCAGCCATTATAGTCCGAAGTTTCTTCGCTACCGGAAGCCTTAACGGCACCTCCGTCTACGAACCGTTGTGGCCAGATTCGAGCCGTAAAACCAGGGGCCTTTCTACCAATTTCTAGAAGTAGATTATTAGCGTCTTTTCTATTAAGGGGGGTGCGAGAAAGAGACTCACCGACAAGTAGCATGACGCATCTCGATTCCAACCATCCCACAAAGTCGTTGCGCTTCCTTGATGACGAACCCCAATAGCTGATGTCAAGCCTGGCGTACACTTTGAACGTTTCCAAGAAGTCCGCAGCTCCAGGGTCCAGGGCCAATTCTCCGAGCGAAGAAGGGCCCATGAATGAGTCGAGGAACTTGTCCCAAGTGATGTTCGGGCTCGAAAGAAGCTCACAAGACCTGGAAATTTCAGCCTGGATGGTCTTGACGGTGGGCATGGAGGCGTTGAGGGCCGTGTTCAAAACAGGAGGGTGCCATCCCAAAAGACATAACGGCTCGGTGGAAGACCGGCGGTAGGTTAGGTTCTTGTGGAAGAATGGATCGAAGACTACCTGTGTCTTCCAGTCGAATTGAGCATAATGGTGGAAGTAAGAAACCACAATATCCGCCACGGAGACTGATCCCACCTTCTTCACAAGAGCCTTGCACACGGGGACAAGAGTCACGGCTATGTTGATCCCTCCAAGAAGGCCAAATTTCGCCCCGTAAAGGCCCCTGGACTTGGCCCACGCTTTGATCAACAGATGAGCAGCCCTGTATTGCGACATGTCTGGGATTGAGCGACGGATGTAAAAGAGGTCTCGGACGGGTTTTAGCTTTGACAGTGTCTGAGGCGGTAGAGCGAAAGCCGGGTCGGTCGGTGGTCTCTTCATGACCTCAGGGAACCTAGAATCGTATGTGAATACCATGATTCCGAGAGTGGATGCGGTTTATTTACTTACTGTTCAAGGATAGACAGAGAACCACAATAGTGCAGATCGAACTTGATTCCAGAGATATCAAGAAGTAGCATCGTTCCTGAGCTTGCTCTCACCCTTCGAAGAATTGTGATACCGCTCGACTCAGCCTTTCGAAGCCTTGAAATGGCCAGCTTGAAGAATAACTTTGAACTGATACCGCCAATACACAGGACATCCACGTCAGAAGACTCAGTCCAGACCCCTAGGCCGAATGAGCCCACTGGCACAAGTGTCAACTGGAGTCCTTTTCCGTCTTCCGGCATATCCTGCCCGGCGGCTTGACATTGTAGCGTAGTCTGGAGCAGATTAATAGCATGCTGCCGATCAGCAACATTAGCTTGGGTGGGGAGAAAGTCTCGTTTCTGCAGACAACGTTTCAAATCCTCCAGTCCGCCCAAGGAGGATGGTCCGCGCTCCAACTTCACGTCCATCGCCTTCTCCCTTGCGCTCTCCTGGCTCTTCTCCTCCTGCGACGGTGCTTGGAAGAGACAGCGAACACCCCAGTGATCACTTGCACCAGCGTCCATTTGCTCGTCTGCTTGAACCTGTGTTGGTGGGAGACCAAACATGTTGAAGCGAGACGGGCGAAGCCGGAAGTGTGAATTCACAAGAATTCTATCGTACCTTTGGGGGCGATTGTTCATGCCAGAGCCTACAAGCTTCGCAGCAAGGATATTGGACTGGGGATCAAACGTCGCGCCTTCTTCACCCTCGAAAAGCTCATCAGCCGTGGGTTCCAGTCGCCACGACTGCGTTGAAGACTCTCCACTTTGAATTCTTGAAGC